TGGGATTGTCTCAAGTCTCTCTCTGCTTTTTGTTTCTTTCTTTGTTTGTTTTTTTCTGTCGTTTTCTTTTTCTTTTTTCTTCCCCATGCCATGTACAGCAGTAGAGTACATGAATGGAATTATCATATACCTTTTAATTGTTCTATTTCCCTTGGATGATGAGCCTCCCTCTGCAGGCTTGAGGTAAGGGGTGCCTACACCATGCTTAGCATCGTAAGGTACTGAAAGTACCCATCCTTCTTTCACTTGTTTGCCAGAACAATACTTCTGCAAAGTTTTCTAAAAGTGAATGAAACATTAATAAAAGGGGTTAAATGTGTGAAACTATAGTGCTGTTTACACATGCGCATATATGATATTAGTATAATTTCAGAGCTGAACAAAAAGCAATCTGATTGGTTGAGGGATTGCTTATATGACACTATATTCACCACGCCAGGCTGTGAATGTAACATTTTTGAGACCTGGCTACTAAGCTCGCCACCTTTGTCATCTCGGCAAGTAAACATGATGGACAGTTGCTGAATGAATTTTTCATTTATTCGGAAGACATCAGTCCAAGTCCAGGATATTTTAAAGGATGGAAAATTTTCAGAATGACTGCTTTCACCAAAAAGCCTTTCAAAAACTCATACTCAAAGAATTTAAGAATTGTAAATGCAGTGGTTATGTTGATTCCCAGCAGGTCAAAGCGATTGACCGAAATTTATTTTTCTTCACATAAAGCTACTCATTTTTTGACAGTGATGCAACTGTGAATGAAGTGAACAATGACAAATCAAAGGTACTGGATGAATTTATTTTTTGTAGTGTTTCAATCGTTTGTTTTGCTGCCGAACTCCATGGGTAAATTGATTCACAATCGATGTACATGTAAGCTTATTATTAAAACTATGGCTGCATACATGTATGCAAACAAACAATTGGATCTGTGTTTTGTGTTTTAGTCCGTTATTCTGTAGTCCTCTCTGTTCAGCTCTGAAAATAATACTAGAACAATTATTTGCCTCAGGCTCAGTAACCATTGGTGAATATTCACCTGGAGTCCGTCTCGGTGAATATTCACCAATGTTCATTTCGCCTTTGACAAATAATTGTCAAATATCACTCAATTGGTTTATTAGTACTTAGTAATACATGTTTTAACTTCTAAAGCTACTGTACATGCAGCTTCAAGCTAGTTCAAACAAGCACATTGATATAGACCACAATGGTCTACTGTAGGTCAAACAACCCTTAATGTACTAATTAGTTTCTGAATGTCCCAGGAGAGAGGAAATTGGATTGGAAATCTTAATTTTTGAAAATCAACGGTCAGAAAAGTTGCAATTCCAATGTGCATCACAGTTACATGAACTGAATGTGTAAATTTATAGAGGTGTTTAAAATGATACCAAGATAACTAATTCACAAGTTCAGCATTGTTCCCTACAGTGCAGATTGTCAGTACTTTAGGTCTATATTTGTTTCCATGATAAAAACAAAATGTCACACCAGAACAAGTCATACTTGTGCAAGTTCATCAAAAAAGCTGTGGAAAATCTCTCCTGTCGGCTCACATTCCCACAGCATACCACATTCTCACAAACTTCCACTTGCATTTCTATTTAACAATTATATGTACATGTAGATTACGAGCTTGAGATTTCTATCGCATGATGCAATGTAGTTTACGAGGGCATAATACCACGCATAGAAATCAAGAGCGAATAATCTAATTGTTTTAGTACAAATCTACTAGTCCTTCAAAACTTTATCTAAATCCTCCTTACAGACACTTTGAAAATGCAAAGAGGCGGCTGCCATTTTGTTACCAAGCGCACACTGCTAGGCTTCTCACTATCTACCACAGAATAGCTAGTGAGTAGCATAGCCAATCAGCAAATGGCATTCAAGATAGAATGCTAGTAGATTTATACAAAACTCAATAGAAAAATAGAACATGTTTCCTATTTCCTAAATAATGTATACATGTATAAAACAAAGAAAAATATCAGATTATACCAAGGATGATATTGCAGCACAACTCACGCATAGTTTTTGTCATCTAATCTACTTGTGCATGTAACATGGTATTGCATGTGACATGTACACTGTAGGATGTGGTATCAGGGATAAAGCTAAGTCAGTCCCAGTCACCAGCTAAATTCACTGGCTGAAAAAAGGCTAAATTATCACCAGCTGAAATTTCCCTCAAAAACAGAGTGTTGGAGTAATGTTGAAGGTCTGCAGGCTAGAAACGCCACCTGAGCCTGTCAATTAACAAACCAGGACAAGTACATGTAGGTTTTATTAGCTACATCCCTCTGGAATGAGGAAAACAAACAGACTTCATGCATGGTGTGAAGTATTTTCATCACAGTTGGTGCACAACTCACACTAATAATCATGTGCAGAAACTTTCCCAAGTACATCTACAGATTTTAAAAGGAAAGCTAAAGATAAAAATTTTACTACTTATTAAAAGAGCAAGATTGAGACCTTGGTGTATTGACCGAGCGATAATGAGGTCAATACGGCAAGGCTAAGGTTTGAGATTCATGTAAATAAGTTGTTTATTATATGTGTATGGCTTTTTGCTTTGTTTCTGAAGGTCCGTTGTTGGCTCCTAGACATTACGGGAGAATAATGCCCTAGAATTAGCCAATCAGAACATGTGTTATATCAGCTACAAATGCAAGCCATATAATGAATGACATTAATTTTTTTCACGTTCAATAATAATGACACAAGGTCATTGAAATGTCATGTAACTTTTTTGTCATTAATTTTCCTTTTAAAATGTTATGAAAATCATTTTAGAATGAAAATAAGCAGTATGAAAATTGAACGACATTTAGATGACTCCATGTCATCATTCAATTCTATCATGTATTTCGAACTTGATAATGATGACATGGATTCATCGAAGCATCATTCAATTTTCATATCGCTCATTTTCATTCTAAAGTGTTTTACAAAACCTTTTATTATCATAAAAAACATTCTATACTTATTGAGCTTAATCTAAACAACCAGTTTTATACCTGATAATCCACTTCGTTCGTGTAAATAGGCCTGATACATTTCAGGGAGAGTCAAGGATTGATGATGAGGACGAAGATAATGATGAGTCCACTACATAAAGCTGATGACTTTTTAATTCTATCACCTGTCTACTATCGAGAATTGGAGGGTTTTTGTCAAGCAGTGCCTTGGTTGAATTTCATACTCGGTTGGTTGGGTACTTTCGAAAGGGAAATGTAATAGGTAAATGTTTCGAAACGGAAGTGTAATTAACAAACCTTAACAAAGCTTAATAACACTCAAATCGACCCATTACATATCACAATACATTTTGCACTACCTGACAAAGCTTTATCCAGGAGCCATTATGGTTGAAAAATTCCTCTCCTGATGCAAACAGCTGAAGGTTAGAAACAGACGGCAATTCCCCTACGCACTGCGCATCGTTTTGGGGCTTTTTCCGTATGGCTATGACCGGCGAATTTTTGATATCTTCCCTCACATACTCCACCTCAGCCGGAACAAAACACAACGGTAAAGGCAAACATTTTCCTTGTTCTATGCGATTTATGCTCTCCAAAAGACATCGTATGCGGGCCAAGCGTCTTCTTGCTGGTTCATTCTTCATTTTTTTTTTAAAAATGGGATTAATTTTCGTGGTCAAATATGCCCCCAGCTATCAAGATGGCGAACGGCTTGCTTGGTAACCAAGCGCAGGAGACAACCGAGGTGAAAGGGGTCCAAACTTCGACCCAGTCTTCCCGCGAAGAAGTGACCAGGAAAGAATGTGTCAGCTCCACACGAAACAAGCTGTTTTGCTCAAGTGCAGTGAAAGAGGTCCAGAAATGTCCGGAGGTCTCTGTTTAAGAAGTAGATACCGACTAAAAGCACATAAAGATCTGAACAAACCAAAGATATTTGGAATACCACTTGGTGTGTGCCACCATTCTGACTTGCTAATTCAATAGTGTCGCGGTACTGGACAAGTCAGAGTCTATAGTAGTGTGCGCTTTCATTTTCGGGATCAACTTTTTGATGGAGGAGGGGGAGGCTGAATTTTTCTTTTACAGGAATGCAATTCAAATTTGTTCAACAGGTACGGAGTTTAACGATAGCAAAAAAGGAAGGGGAGTAAAAGGGTGGGGAGTAAAATACGAACTTTTACCAAAAGCGCCAAGACGACATTTCCTTCACGAAGATCTAATTTCGCCTACGCACCCAGCGTTACTCGCACCCAGTGTTACTTGAGCGCCCGCTACGCCAGTTAGATTTGATTTCCATTAACTGAAAGTTCTTCGGAAAAAAAACGTAGAGATGGTAGTGGCCCTATGGTTTCAGTGTTAGTTTCAGATCGATTGCTGCGTTTTGCTATTCAGGGACAAGAAGACATTATATAATGCTGGTAATGACACTCGCTGATCCTGTGCCCCCAAGAAGATGACCAAAGCACACAACAATCGATATTGGGATATTGCGTTTGAACATTACAAAGTTGCGCTATTTTTACTTTGAAATTACCGCGAATTCAGACCCCCGCAGGAACCTAAGTACGCAATCACAAGCACGGGCTTAATTTTTAACTGACGTCGTCACTTCACCGGAACCGGTAAAAAGAAAAAGAGCCATTTTTTTCCTTACCGATGCGCGCTCATGTAGACCGGTACTGACCTGTTTCGCGGGAAAAGAAGCCTAAAAATAAACCGGTCTGTGAAAATGCTGTGACATAGGCTTAGTGTGGGAGTTACACGCTCCTATTGATGTACTCCTGCTATTGCAAATATCCCATAAGCGCACGCGTCAATACGTTTAACCCGGGCCATCGAAATCAGACTTGTTCAAACAAAATTACCTAGTCCGGGACTAATCTCGTTTCCAAGTTTGGTGTAACGTGACTTACAATAGCTCTTTAATTTTCTCCAATTTTAATTAAAAATATGGGCAAACATTGAACAGAATCAGATGGCTAACAGGTCTAAGTTAATTAACGCATGTCAGCTAATTGAAACGATTTTCCAAACTAGCAAACAGTTAAAATTACTCCATTTAATAGCCCATAGCATTGTTCAAGACCTAAACTGCATATTTTCAAATTAATATTCTTTTACCAGTACGTTTACAAACGTAAATTCAGAGCTTAGTTTTAGAAAAGAGTTCACTTTGCATGCTGAGCAACATCCTGGGTAGTTTTCATCCGGGAAGTTTTCTTCCGGGTTAATTTCCATCCGGGTTTCCGACCCATGGATAATGAGGCGGGCATTCTGGAGCACACGTCTGCATCACACGTTCCCGTTCAGGATAATAACAGACTCTGCAATTTCCCGCGGGACAAGCGGGTGGGGGTGTCGAGTCGCATTTCCATGGCGCAAAGTCTTCGATATTTTCCAGCGTCGTGGGAGTCATGATCCAATCGAGAGCCTGCGAAATGGTTACCACCCACACGTCGCTCATGGATGCAAGTTTTTTGAGGAAGGTCACCGTTCCTGTCATGAGCATAAATGTAAAATGAGAGCGTTCAGCGGAGTGCATTTTACTTTGAAATTGTTTCCTCTAAGTCAAATTCCGTCTGAAAATGATTTTTCCAAACTCCAAGTGAAATGAAAATTGGTTTGAAAAAAAATACCCCGGTGTTCGACTGAGCGGGGAGAGGTACGACTTTTTGTTCAAGTTATCGGGAGGTTCGAGAAATCGGAATTCCACAGTAAGTTAATAGCTACTCGGAATTGAAAAGAGCATTGAAGTGAAAGTGTTTCGTGGTTTTAGTGGTATAGGGAAATGATTTGTATAGCCTAGCAGGGTGTACCCCTTCCCCGATTTATCTTGTTTAGAGAGCAACCCTCCACCCCTTTGTCACCGCAGTCGTTGTTGGTTTGAAACCATTCAGGGGACAATGATTCTCGAGAACTTGTGTGGCGACTTAAATCACGGTCGCAAGAGAGCTCAGTACAGTTTGATCCGAGCTTAATTAAAGATTATGGGGAAAGGGTAAAATCTAGGAACACTATGTACATGAAGTATGCTACCACTGCGCGAACGAGAGATGAAAGATGGAACAGGCCCGGGGGGGAGACTCCCATATAAAAAGGATGGGGGTGCTCGTCGGAAATTTTGAAAAGAACCCCTAAGAGGTACCAAGGTCCTGCTTTCTGGCTTGAAATAACTTATGCAATTAAATTTGGAATCCGTTTCAATATTGTGTTGTCTCATTTGACCATCCGTATTTCTCTACTTAATTCAACGGTTTTCGCCTGTACCAAAATAATATTCGCTTGAGTGATAACTTATCAGAGTCACTTTGTGACCTTTTCGTCTCGAATCCCAGGTTCCCTCTCTCGTGGAGCTAGATTGAAAGCGTTAAGGCCTCGGAGGAAACGGGTTTCTCGATTTTCTCATGAAAGGACGTAAGCTTACTAATATAATTAGATGATTTCGTTTTGTATTTTTTTCGGGTCAGAAGGATTAAGTTTTGTTTTGCTCGAGCAATGGCTAGCTTGCAGAGCGTCTGCACGTATAGTTGAACCTCTGGTTGCGACCACCTCTCGTAAGCGACCACCCCTACTCAGCGACCAGTTTTCCAAAATACCAAAAGTTTCCGAGTCAAATCACTATATTTGGAACCTCTTGTAGGCGACTAGCTCTCGTAAGCGACCGCGACCACCTTTAGAGCTAAAAGCTTGAAATTTTCTTTTGTTTTTAACCTCCCGTAGACGACCACTTAACAGATAATAGAGCGGAAACTGCATAATAAGGTGTTGTAACATTGTCGCGTTCCTGGATAGTACAGGGGACGGAAATGTCTTGATGGGAAGAATCGGATTTTTTCTCGAAATTAACTTTCCCAATGAATAAAGCATTTAAAACATGGGGTAAATTTCTGCAGTTACCATATGCTAATGAGGCAAAATTTTAATCCAGTATGGTCTAAGCTCTCGTAAGCGACCACCTCCCGTAAACAACCAGGCACCTAGGCTTGACATTTTGGGTGATCTCTTAAGGGAGGTTCGACTCTAGCACTAAATCCTCTCTATATAGTAGAACCTCGATATAACGAAAGGCCAAGGGATTGGCAAAATATGTTCGTGATAACGAGGTTTCGTTGCATCGAGACTCTTTTCCGTATA